GCATTGGGAACTTCCCAAAGGAAAGGATGGTGGTGCTGGGGTGCTGGTGCAGTGAGAGCCTGCTGCCCACCTGACACCTCAATGCAGCCCCGCTGGCCTTTGGCCTCCCCCGGCCCAGGGCCACCCAGCTGGATGGAGCTGGTGCTTTGCTGTCCCAGTCCTGCCTGGACCGTCTGGAGCAGGCAGAGACAAGTAACTATTTGACCCATAGGTTATCCTGATGCGAAGGACCTGATGGAACCCTGAGCTGCATCTATTTCCTGGTTCAAGCAGGGAGAACTGCATCTGGAAATATTTCAGTATTTACGTGAATATTTTTTTCCATCTTCTGCAAGTCTATTGTGATTTTCACATGCACATCAGAGTTGATCTTAGAGGTTATTCCAACCAAAGTAATTCTGTGATTCTATATTTTCTAGGGAGAAAATATCAAAACAGAGGACTTGGACAATGTTCCTTCTGGCCATCACCTGAGGGCCACAGCTGCCCTGGACAGGTCTAAGGACTTTGCCTGGTGCTGCTGTCCTCAATGACAGTGTGTATAAAAACAGATAAAACTTGGAGAAAAAAAGAATCAGGGGGAACCTGTGCTGGAGAAGACCTGTGCACAGCTTCACCTGGGTATTATCTATTCTAATCCAGTGGAAATCATGACAGTGTTTTGATATGAGCAGACATTTGTGATCAAAATACCTCTTATTTCAATGATTCAAGGACAAAATGGGATGCTATTGTCTCCCTGGATGAACGTGAGATGTTTTGTGAAAGGTACGATCAGTGTGTTTGGAGAATGACAAAATTTCCTTCCTATCTTGGGAGGTAACTGCAGCACCAGCTGTGCAGCACTGAGTCCCTTACTCCTGGTTTGTGCTGTGAAAGGATCTGTGTCACAGTTATTTATGTCTGTATTTTAAATATGATTTGAAAAGAGACTGATTCAAAAATTTTCAATGACCCGGTGAAATCTGAACTGCTTATAGCAAGACAAGAAGTATAATGCTTCAATCAAAATAGCAACTTGGAATGTGTTTTATTAAACAGAGTTCATTTAATACTACCCCAGAGTGCTGTGGATGTGAAAACACATTCTTGAATTGGAACTTTCATATCTAGGTAATAGGAATGAAGGGAAAATGGTCATTTTTAATATTGTACATTTTGGGACAAATTCTGATCTCATATACAACTACCCACAGCATTCCTGAATATTTTCCAAAACTGGTATGTCCCTGGATTGTGTATGTCACTACGAGGTGAATACGTTACAGGAAAAACAAGTAGACCCTGCACAGAGCTCTAAGTAAAATCCTAGCAAATTTAATTTTCCCATCATTCTCTTTGCAGTATTTTCAAGGTGTTTCAAATGAGAGAAAACATAACAAAGCTCAGGCTAAGTGCGATTGAAGAAAACCCTGAAATAAGGCATCAAGGAATGCAAAGTAACAGAAAAAAGTGGATTGTATGTATAAACTCTGGGTACATTTCCCTTGTAAATATTCCTTGGTTTTTGCTAGCAATGCTATGCAAAAATATTTAAATGAGCATATTATAAAAGAGCAGTGCTGCCCGTGTAACATGGATGCCGAATCTGTCGAGGACGAGAAGTTGGGAAGTGATGGGACCATTTATTTCTCCATTAGCGGAGAATTGCTGATCATCCCAAGGAAATCAGGCTTTTCCTTGCCAGCTGCTCAGCTTTTCGGGAGTTTAAACGGCTTCTGCTATCAGCCGGAGCGAGGCACAAGGGCTGGTTTCTCCCGGCCGCCGGGCGAGCTCCCCGGCCCCGAGCTGCCGGCGCGGGGAACGGGACCGGGACCGGCGGCTGCGGGGGCTCAGCGCTCGTTCGGTGCCCACGCTGGGGGCACCGGGTCCCGCAGCATCCCCGGGACACGGAGCCGAGGAGGGACTGGCGGACCAGGGCAGGCGCGGAGAGCTATGCAATAAAACAGAACTTACGATGTCCTTATTTAGAGAAAGAAAAAATCCTGTTCTGCTCACACGGAGGAACTCCAGTGCCTGTACGAATGAATTCTCCCTCGCCGTTGGTGCTGGTCGTGCCGGCACCTTCCAGCTATGCCCGAGTTCCGAGACAGAGGGAGGGTGCCAGCTGAGCGCCGAGGGAACCTGCCGAGCATCGGGCTCTGCCCGCGCAGCACCGCGCCCACCGCCCGGCCGGGCCGGGCACAGCGGCTGTGCTCTGCAGGCACCTACCAGCCAGCCTCTGAGCTGGCAGCGCTACTCTGCAAAAGTCACAATTACAACTATGAAACCTGACTTGGAGAAAAATACTTCTCTCGGGATCCTGCAGAAAATGAAAACAAGCTTTTCCCCTCCAGTATAAAATTGACCAAACAAAACAGCATATCTGCTCAGGTACCATAAATAAATTGCATTCAGAACGCAGAACAAGATCTTTCATGTAATCTCTGTATGGAATTTGGGTGTCAGTCTCTGATTTAAGGGGAAAAAAAAAAACAAACAAAAAAAAACAAAACACTGAGAATTTTCTGACCTTGATCTCAGGTAGCTGCCTGCTGTCACACCACTGCCAGCACAGCATGTTTGACATCAATTCTTACCAGCTTTGTTTTCTCCTGGTGTGAAGAAATGAAGTGTGATTTCCTGAGCAGCTCAGGAAATTTTGATATTTATATAATTTTTAAAGACACAAATTTTTTTAAGACATACCTTTTCAAAGGTTCTTTCACAGAACACCCAGCATATTCCCCTGGGGTACTTTCAACTGGTAGATCAGAAGTGAAACATTTCCCACAATATCCCACTACGTAAAATAAAATTCACAAGACATTACAAAGTAATTGTGTATTTTCAATAACCAGAAGTACAGAAGAGCTGGTAAGCCTCCAGTGCATGATACATTTAATATGATAAATTAAAAAACTTGAGACTGATTAAATTAAATTGAGACTTGGTTAAATTTAAGTGAAGCCCTGGCAGGAGTGGAAGCTGGGAGGTGCAAAGCCACCCTGGTCTGGAGAGGTTTAACCCATGTGCAAACTCTGATTTCACTGCACTCTGCAGCTGTTACTGCTATGCTCTTGTGAACCATGTTAAATATCTGTATTTCAGAGGAACTGTTGCAAGTGAATACTTGTGCTCCTGACATCTGTGATTTGCACGTACAGAATTACCCCAGCGAATGGGTCAAGTGACTTTGTGCCCAAATGCATGGATGTGCTGGGGAGCACAACTGGCTTGGAACCTGTGGCACAGCCACAGGGAATGCTGTGGTGCTGATTTGAGTAGTTTCCTGGTGTGGATGTGAAATGCTATGGGGTGAGAAATGACAATCAGTTCCTGGAGTGACTAAACCCACCTGCCTCCCCTGAAAAACTGAGTGCACATGGAGTGAAATAGTAATTTAAAAAAATTTAACACAGTGAGAGCAAGTATAAAAATACCTTTTAGATTAATTAAGTGGCTAAGCACACTTCCAAATGATGAAGATTTGACAGTTTTAGGAGTCTTGCTGCTTATTGGTGAATTTCCCTGCAGCCATAACCCCCAGAATCCCCTTTTCAGGGGTGCTGCCTCCAGCTGCCTCTGGATGCTCTTCCCAATTGCTGCCTGTGCTCTGCACATTGACAACCCAACAGAATCCCATACAGCAGCTGGAAATAAAACACAGCTTGACAAAATTAACCTCAAAATGAGCTGGTGGTGCTTGGGTGAGCGTGGGGCAAGGTGTAAGGGCAGTGGTGCATGGAAGAAGGTGATGCTGGTCCCAGAACAGTGTCAGGGTGGTGAAACCTCCTCAGCCTCACCCTCTGCAACCTTGGATGGGGTGCAAAAAAAAAAAAAAAAAAAAAAAAAAAAAAAAAAAAGGAATAAAAAAAAAAAAAAAAAAAAAAAAAAAAAATCAGAAAAATGTTGCAAAAACTGTTCTACATACTGAAGTAACATGTTTCCCTGATCCTTCTCTGTTTGTCCTGTTGTAGGGTCAGTCTTCAGTAATTAGTGATGATGGGAATAAAGTAACAAGATGTAAACAGGGTAACATTTTTGTGTTAACATGCCAAAAAGTCTTCCTGAATTTTTAATAATTTTTCAGAGGAATGTGGGTCAGTTTCTGACAAACTGTATTTCTCAGAATGTAAATACTGTAGTGCAGTTACAAAGGGTGTTTGGGCTGTTACAGGGTCTGTGGGCACTGCTTCTGGTTGGTGCTGGTGTCATCAGTCCCTTGAGCCATATCCAACAGACCAGTGCCAGACATTTTAAGAAATGCCACATGCAGAGGAGGGTTCAGACTATTCTGAACAAACTCCCTAAAATCCATAAGCAACAACTACCTCCTCTGTGTGCCCCCCAGGTGGTGAAGAGGGATCTGCAGGAACAGTGGGACTCCCAGCAGTGGTGATGGCAACAGGGGTTCCCCAGGGCTTTGCTAAGGCAGCAGGCTGGGGAGGACCCTCTGCATGGAGGCAGATGTTGCTTTTTGTTGATGGAAGCCCTGGGGTTTCAGTTCAGCCCAGACAGCCAGTTGACCCCCAGAGTGGAGAGGAAAGTCTGTGGAAAATGGTGACTGCAAAGGTGTGTCACAAGCCTGCATCCCAACAATGCTGCAGTAACACCTGTGGTAGAAGTCATGCCCCCACACCTGAGGAGCTGCTGTGCTTTGCCCTGCTGTGGGCTGCTCCCACCACCTGCCTGCTACCCCATGGGCTGTGGGACTCCAGTTTTGCTCACACAGCTCCTGGCCAGCAGCTCTGCACTGTTAGAAATTATGCCCCTGCGTTGAGTCATACTTTAACCAGTCCGCCCAAACGCACACAAGGTCTGAGACTGGTACACACAGGCTGTTTTGGAAGGTTTCTGTGTAACTTCCACCATGTGTATTGGTTGTCTCACAAGTGGATGGTCTTCAGTCTTCAATGCTTGTCTTCCCCTTCCTGAAGGAGAAACTTGCAGAGCCAGCTGGCTCCGCAAAACCCAGGAAGCTGGAAGTGAAATGCAGCACACAGAACACAGTGAAAAGCTGCAGCAAATCAGTTATTTCAGGGATAACTGATGGAGTACCACTTTTTTAATTCAACTGTATACTTTAAAAACTCCCAAAACATTATACAGTTTGTTCTCTGTGTCCTGTAGCTACACCTGCTCACTATTAATTACCTTTTTTTCTGGTCAATGTCCATGAGAGTATTGCTACTTGGAGCACAGGAATATATAGATCTCTTAGAAAGAGCATTACAATAACTTTTTCAGTTCGCCATTTGCTTTCAAATGTCTTAGTCTATATCATGATTTCAGCGAACAGACCAAGACTGCTTTCAGTATCATCATGGGGTTCCAGCTCTCTGCTGGGCTCAGCCTGTTCCTGAGCAGTCTGTCTCTTTCTTCTGCGCACGTACACAGAGTGGCTCTTCTCTGGCCCCTCGGGAAACAAGGTGTCTGCAGTTTCCAGAGCCCGCTCCAAGCCTTTGTGGAATCTAGACAGAAACAATTCTGTAGTTACTGTTTTTATAGACTTGCTCAGAATCTGCAAATTACTCTGAGAAACTAATGCTTTTAGAATGCAATCAAAACATGCAAGGGGAGAAAAGTGGTTACTAACATTTTACTTAATACTGAAGAAAAATTAGATGTCATAAACAGAACTGGTGTATTCTTACAAACCTGTCAATCCTCCTTATGTTTTCTTCCATTTTCTGATTGGCTACATGTACCAGAAATTCAATATATTCTTCGGAGACCATCAGTCTCCCTTTGTGGCTCAATGGAACTTCTAAGCAGTGAGTGCTCCGCACAGCCTAAAAACACACACATGATTGACCTGGAATAAAGTTTTTTAGTTTATGCAGGTTATTTAAATAATGTAGGGAGTTCATTATAGTAAAAAACCTGTTTATCCATATGATTATTTAGGTTACTGTCACCTAAAGCAGCAAGCTATTTCTTTGCTATAGCATGCCCTGTGACAGCTCTTAAGAACCAGTCAGGTCTTGGCTCGTACAAAAATCAAGGTTAACGTAACAATATGACTTCATTACATCCCTTACAGTAACAGAGTCCTTACCATTGTAATTTTTCCTCCTCTGCCAACTGTAATACCAGAGTTTCTGAACCCAGAGTTAATAGCCACTGAATGCTGCAGAAAAAAATAAATGCTTAAACAGTATACTTTCACAGCAAAAAATATTTATGGATGCATTGCAATGCAACATACAATCTCATTTTTGCAAAAAACATATTCAAATCATCTACCCAGACTTATTAAAAAATAGTTCCATTAAAATACTTTCTAAGATCAAACCCAGAAATGGTGGGTGGATTTCCAAGGCCCACGGTGGATCCTGATTGAATCCATCAGTGCAGAAGGGGTGTAACATCTCTCTAGGCACTGAACTACTTTATCCCAATGAGCTGGAGCTTCACAGAGTGTCATGCCACCCCTTGACAACGACCAGTGCAGCTGCACTCTGCATAGCCCCTCAGCTCCTCTGCACTACTGCCAAAACAAGCCCAGCACGGCACACATTGATCTCTAGAAAAGCAGAAGGCAAAGGCATCATTCAAGGCACTGGAAATGGAGCCAAATGGCCTGGCTAGCAGTGAAGTACCATCTAAAATCCAGCCCTTGCAGCCAGTGAGAGCAGCCCAGGCCCCTCAGGTAGTGCTTCATGCAGCAGTCTGCTTCAGTTCAAAGCCTGAACTGCCGGTGAGTCTTTTTTCTTTCTAAGTACAGTAAAACCCTCACCAACTTTACAGCTGTGTTTTTCCATCAGCTTACCTTACTACCCTAATTATTAGATACACAGCACATCTGGGACTGTTTCTAAGTGCAACTGCTTACCCAGGAGCCAATACTTTTATTTTTGCAGGCAAGAACGTAAGAGAACAATGCCACATTGTACTTGACATGGCTTTACCAGCAGCTGTGCATCCTGCAGCCCCCGACACAGCACGTGAAGAACAAATGGCTCAAACTTGAATACAACATCACCAGTGGCTTTCTTGAGTGCTGCCATCTGGAAAATACACAAAATATGTATATAAAAATCATAGTACTTCCTCTCATAAGAGTTAACAACACCCCACTGCATCCTCCTTGGCCTAAAATTTTAGCAAGCTTTGCTTTGCTGGAACAAATACTAATGAAAACAAATATTCTGGAGGACACTTCTGTGCCTGTGTGAGAATGTTTATCTATGGTAAAGTGAACTATGACTTGAGTGAGAAAATGCTGATCTTGCAACTGCCTCTTTTGTGGGACAAAGCAATATATACAAAGAATAGATTATTTTGAAAGCATACTAAAAATGAAAAACTTTGCACTATAGATGTTTTTAATTTCAGGAGATTTAATGACAGTAAATTAAAAATGCAGTATAAGAAATTCCCTGTTGCACCACTTTCAGGTGTCTGTCTGCTAGCACAGCAAGCAGGGCTCAAGAGATTTTTAATTCAAGAGTTTTAAATATTACTCCAGACAGGAAGAAAATATATAGGTTTCTGGAATATCAGCTGCCTTTATAACTATGCAGAGAATTTGATACTGAGTTTAAAAGCATTCTCTTAAAATGGGGCTGAAGAATTTATTAAGCAACACATCTAAGGAAAAGTTAATTTTGAGAGTAGAGTATCAATTCATCTCAGTAGCAGGAATAAAAACCCTTTGACATGATGTGTTTTCCATGATACCAGGAACATTTCCATGCATAAATATAAAGGCTGTATCTCACTGCGCCCTTACCACATCGCCTTTGACACATGGGTCATGTGTTACCAGGAGCCACGTGCAGTTCTTCTTCTGGATCCCCGTGCCGTCAGTGTCCTAGTGATGGGCAGAAACCATTAAAGTGGCTCGGCAGCCCGGTGGGTTTAACCTTGTGCTGCTACAGAAACGGTCCTTGGAAATAAAGGAGCATCCGTTTGATACAAGGGCCCATTCACACCGCGACCAGACCCACCGTCACCATCACCGTGCCGGTACCTCCCTCACTCCCGGTCCCTCAC